CTCCTCTTCCTTCTCCTCCTCCTCCTTCTTCTTCCTTCTCCTCCTCCTCTTCCTCCTCCTCCTCCTTCCTCTTCCTCTTCTTCTTCTTTCTTCGTTTTTGAGACAGTTTCTCCCTCTGTCACCCAGGCTGGAGCACAGTGGCATGATCTCAGCTCACTGCAACCTCTGCCTCCCAGTTCAAGTGATTCTCCTGCCTCAGCCTCCTGATTAGCTGGGTTTACAGGCACTTGCCCCCATGCCCAGCTAATGTTTTTATTTTTAGTAAAGATGGAGTTTCACCATGTTGCTCAGGCTGGTCGAGAACTTTTGACCTCGTGATCCACCCGCCTCAGCCTCCCAAAGTGCTGAGATTACAGGCGTGAGCCACCTCATGCTGCGGGCCTCCCTTCTTCTTTACAGGGGGTGAGTTAGGCACTCTGCTCCCCAATAAATCTCAGGGGGCCACACACACAGCCTGCTTCCCAGAGACGTGGAACTCCGCGCCAGGTGTTCTCCCGTGGCCTCAGGAGCCAGCGCGATGGGTAGCCTGAGCCCTGGCTGACCAGGGAGCCCGGCTGCTGCCGAAGATGATTCCGATCCATGCGGCAGGTCAGAGCCAGGCCTGGGAGAAGGGACAGGCAGCACGTGTTGATTTAAATTTTTTCAGTGTCCTGAGAGGTCGTCAGGCACTGTGGTCATTTCCAGCTCCGTTCTCATCACTGCCGATCTGGAGCCGTCTGGGCAAGGGTGCCCGGCGCAGAGAGTTCACGGTGGCTGCGGTGACCGTGCTGGCCGCAGTCGTCACCCTGGTGTGGCATTCATTGCTTTCCTTCCACACTTTAAGAGCAGCTCTGCTGTATAAGATGTTTCTGGAATGCAGATGACTCTGTGCACTCCAGGCATGAAAGGAAACATGCCTGACCTCAGCCTGAAGCCCACTGCTCTAGACCAGGTGTCAGCAAACTACAGCCTGCCGGCCAGATTGGGCCCGACACCTGTGTTTGCAAATAAAGGTTTTCTTTTTCTTTTCTTTTTTTTTTTTTTTTGGGACGGAGTTTCGCACTTGTTACCCAGGCTGGAGTGCAATGGCGCGATCTCGGCTCACCGCAACCTCCGCCTCCTGAGTTCAGGCAATTCTCCTGCCTCGGCCTCCTGAGTAGCTGGGATTACAGGCACGCGCCACCATGCCCAGCTAATTTTTTGTATTTTTAGTAGAGATGGTGTTTCACCGTGTTGACCAGGATGGTCTCAATCTCTTGACCTCGTGATCCACCCGCCTCAGCCTCCCAAAATGCTGGGATTACAGGCTTGAGCCACCGCGCTCGGCTTTTTTTTTTTTTTTTTTGAGATGAAGTCTCACTCTGTCACCTAGGCTGGAGTGCAATGGTGTGATCTCAGCTCACTGCAGCCTCCTCCTTCTGGGTTTAAGTGATTCTCTTGCTTCAGTCTCCTGAGTAGCTGGGACTACAGATGTGCACCACCACACCCAGCTAATTTTTTATATTTTTAGTAGAGACAGGGTTTCACCATGTTGGGCAGGCTGGTTTCGAACTCCTGGCCTCAAGTGATCGCGCACCTTGGCCTCCCAAAGTGCTGGGACTACAGGCGTGACCGCCGTGCCTGGTCTGCAGATAAGGATCTGTTAATATTAGTGCACAGCTGTACTATCTTTGTTCCTTTTTGCATTGCTATTTTTTAAAAAAGCCCTCAGATTGGGTGATTTGTAAGAAAAGACTTCTAATTGGCTCACCATCCTGCAGGCTGTACAGGAGGCATGGTGGCTTCTCCTTCTGGGGAGGCTTCAGGAAGCTTCCAATTATGATAGAAGGCACACTGGGCAGGCGTCTCCCATGGTAGGAGTGAGAGAGACGGGGCAGGTGCCACACACTTAAATGACCAGATCATCGGGACAGCAACAAGAGGGCGGTGTCCAGTCCTTCACAAGAAACACCTCCTGATCCAATCACCTTCCACACTGTGGATATTAACAATTTTTTTTTTTTTTTTTGACAGAGTCTCCCTCTGTTGCCCAGGCTGGAGTACAGTGGCACAATCTTGACTCACTGCAACCTCTGCCTCCTGGGTTCAAATGAGTCTCCTGCCTTGGCCTCCCAAGTAGCTGAGATTACAGGTGCACACCAACACACCTGGCTAATTTTTGTAGTTTTAGTAGAGACGGGTTTCACCATTTGGCTAGGCTAGACTTGAACTCCTGATCTCAAGTGATCCACCGGCTTCAGCCTTCCAAAGTGCTGGGATTACAGGTGTGACCCACCGTGCCCAGCCTGGGGATTACAATTTGACGTGACGCGGAGCCAAACCATGTCACATACTGATTGATTTATGTAGCTGACCTGTCGGTTAGGACTGCAACACCCCTTAAAGTGGAAAATCCATGTGTAACTTTTGACGTCTTCAAAGCTTACTACAAATAGTTCACAACTGACAGAAGGCAGCCTGACTGATAGCGCAGACACATATGTTGTATGTTATGTGTATTAGAAACTGTATTCCTACAGTAAAGGGAGCTAGAGAGAAGGAGATGTTGTTAAGAAAATCACAAGGAAGATAAAATAGATTCACGTCAGGTAGCAGCAGGTCATCACAAAGGCCTTGCCGTCTTCCTGGGAGTAGGCCGAGGAGAAGGGGGAAGAGAAGGGGGTGTTCTAGCATCTCAGGGGTGGTGGACGCAGAAGAAACTCTGCATGGAAGTGGATCCCTGCAGCTTGAACCCATGTCATTTGGGGTCAGCTGAATGGCCCACAGCTGCCATCCTGCTGCAAGGGCAGAGGTGAGCAGCTGGGACAAAGACCATGTGGCTGGCATAGCCACAGCAGCAGCCACGTGGCCCTGTGCAGGGAGCGTGCTGACCCTGCTCTAGCGCGGGCCTCCCTCCTTCCTGGACGCTTCTCTGAGGAGCCTGAGGCCTGTCACCTGCTCTTGAGTCCCACTCAGGACCAGAGTGCGCCCGTGCCCATGGCCCCTTCACTGCCTTTTTCTCCGGTTGTGGTTTTCTCCTGCTGCCGGAGCAGGGGGCTCTTTGCTGGGCCTGGTGCCCACACCACGAGAAACACTTTGTGCCACGCGCGTTCTCTCTCCGAACTTGAGAGGCCCCTCAGTGGACCCCGGTACCTGCCCTGTTCGGATTTTGTGGTCGAATGGCCTCTCTTTTATGGGAAGAATATTGCATAATTGCTACTGCAGCGGCGTCTGGGCAGACGGCCGTGACCCTCTGTGGAGTGTGCGGCTCTTCTCGGGAAAGGCAGGAGCGACTCCTGGGGCGACGTGGGCCCGGCTGTGTCGGAGGTGGTCAGCTTGGTAACTGCCTCACCTGAAATGACGCTCCCACAGAGGCCCCGGGATACTTGGAAACAAGCGCCCAGCCATTCTCATGGACTCTCTGCCGTGATGACTGTCTTATAAAATATTAACTGCCTGCAGTATGCTTTATTAACGAGGTGGCTCTCCTGCCAGAAGGCACCCAGGGCAGGGGCACTGGACAGGCTCTGCTGACTTGAAGCAGGTGAGTGGGAGGGGTCTTCACTTCCTTTGCCTGCTAAGGATGGTCTGAGACGCTCTCTGGGGATGTGGCTGGTTGTCATAGAGCCCAGCTCCTGTGGCGGGTGCCCATCCAGCACTTCTAGTTGCTGGGTAGACTGGGCAGAGGTTCATGCTGTCCAGCAGGGCAGAGCTGCTGCGTGTGTGGCCCTGGCAAGCTGTGGGGGCGTGGACACAGTGCTGGCCACTCTGGAGGGCAGTTTCTGGCCATGCTTGTGTGGACACAGTGTCCTGAAAAGATGACAGAGTGCTGTCCTACACCAGGGGCTCCGACCGCCTTCCTACCACTTAGCAGGTGGGTTAGTGAGAGGGTGGGCATCTTTCAGCCCGCGGGCACTGCTGGCTGGCTCATCTGCAGAGGGCCTTCCAGAGGCGCATGCTCAGGGCAGGGGTCCGGGCAGCAGGCTCGCACACCCAGGGAAAAATGAGGGTGGCGGGTCAGGCAGGACTCAGGGGCACCCTCCCTCCTCCCAAATCAGAGGGCCCAGGGCCCTCTTCCGTGGACATGGAGACCACAGGGCCCTCTTCATTTCCATGGACAGGAGGCCACAGGGCCCTCTTCACTTCCGTGGACACGGAGGCCCGCAGGGCCCAGTAATGGCAGCCCGGTATTGCCCCCTGGTGGCAAGGAAGGGGCTGACAGTGTGTCTTTGTCGGGTGAAAGGGCGGCTGGGTGGTCTGGACCCTTTGGGAAGGGCTCAGTTGTCTTCCCAGGCATCAGAGTGCAGTACCCGTCCCTCCCCAAGCCAGAGAGTGGGCAGCACATGCAGCATGGAGTTACACATCTGTGGGGCCGGAGGCCAGCACCTGCTGTGATGGGGGCTGCTGTCTTGACCTTTCTGGCTGTTCCTGTCCCCTCTGATGTGACAGATCTAGGGAGCAGGACCTGAGCCGGCCCCAGCCTTGGGGTCCTGCCTCTCACTGGGAATAGTCCCTGGCTTTGGGGTCACATCTGGAGTGCTGGGGGAGGGACTGCAGAGGTCCTTGAGCAGGGGGTCCTAAGTCCCGTTGTTGGGGGGTCTCACTCAGGACCAGGTCCCCCTGCCGCTCTGGTCCTGCCTGTCCCCCTCCCGCTGGCTATTCAGGTTTTGAAGGTAATCGCGGCAATCGCCGGCTTACAATCCCCTCGTAAGACACACATCCGCGCGAGGGTCCTGCCCTAGGTCTCCGGGGAGCCGCGGTACCGCAGGTGCGGTGTCTGGGCCCGTCTCCTCCGCGTGGCCTTGGCTTTACCTGCCGGCGCGGGACGCGGCGCAGGATGCACCCTCCGGGCTGAGTGACGCAGAGCGCTGCGGCCGGCTCCACCGCATCGGGCACGTGGCACACGTTCGGGCGAGATGCGGGGCCAGGGCAGCGGTGCTGCGCGGGGGCGCGGGTGACGCCGGGCGCCCACGGCTCAGAGCAGGTACGTGCGGGCGGGAGGGAGGGAGGGCACCAGCACGGAAGCTTGTGAAGGTTGCGGCGGGCGCAGGAGCGCGGAACCCGGTGCCGAGTGAGTGCAGGGCGCGGGTGCGGGGACCGAGGTGGCGGGCCTCGGCCCTGGTGCAGGGCGCGGCGGAGTTTGGGGCGCGGGCCAGATTCGGGGCGCTGGGGCAGGGCGCGGGCAGGATGCGGGGGCACCTGCGGGGTTCGGGGCGCGGAGTTTGGGGCGCCGGTGCAGGGCACTGCGGGGTTTGGGGCACGGGCTGGATTCGGGGCGCTGGGGCAGGGCGCTGCGGGGTTTGGGGCGCGGGCTGGATTCGGGGCGCTGGGGCAGGGCGCGGGCGGGATTCGGGGGCACCTGCGGGGTTCTGGGCGCGGACTGGAGCGCCGAGTGTGCGCAGACTCACAGCCGAGTGCTGTCTGTTCGCGGGTGCCTTGCCGCTGGGGCGACTCTGTCCGGCTGGCGCGAGGGGCCGAGAGATGAGGGACTCAGCGGTCCCCAGGCCCCTGCTCCTCCGCCGGGACCCCAGGACCCGCTTTTGCGGCGCTGACCTCCTCAGTCCCCGCCCCCGCCTCTGCCTGTCTGGTCTCTGAAGCTCTGGCTTCCACGCGGGGATTTCAGAGGGTGCCCGAGCAACGTCCGGAGAGGGCAGGGCGGCCACACGGTTTACCCAGGGAGGACTGAGCGCTGGTGCGGGAGGCCAGCCCTGCCCAGACAGAACCTTCCCTTCTCCGGTGAATCCGCTGGGCTGGCAGGCAAACCCGGGGCCTCGGGAGTCTCCCGGACTCAGGCACCAGCCAGACTTGAATTCCGCCTTGGTGATGCTGGGGGTGGTCTTCCCGCTGCCACCACTGCTTTGAGGGACCCCCCAGGGTGGCGGGAGGGGCTGCTCTGGGCTGCTCTGAGGCTAACCCTGGGGTATGGAACGCCCCCAACCCATGCTCCTTCCTGGACCCTCCACTGCACTCCTTCCTCCCGGGTATAGCTCCGAGCAGGGCTCCGGTTTGGAAATTCACCCCTCGCGGGGCCTTTCATGCTCGGGCCTGCGTGGTGC